ATGTCCCCAAAGGTGCTGCACTTGGAATCCAGATTTCAGGAATCTTCAGTGGCCACAAAAGTGGTGAAGGCATGTGGCAAGAATCTGTAATTAGCCTTGGCATGGTGGCACACACATTTTGTTTGGTTTTCTTTTTCTTTTTTTTAAATGCTATTTTCTTTTTTTAAAAAATTATTTATTTTATGTACATTGGTCTTTTGCCTGCATGAATGAATGTCTTTATAAGGGTATTGGATCCCCTGGAATAGGAGCTATGGACAGTTGTGAGCTGTCATGTGGTTGCTGGGAATTGAACCTCCGTCCTCTGGAAGAGCAGTCAGTGCTCTTAACCAGTGAGCCATCTCTCCAGCCCCACCTTGTTTAGTTTTTCAAGACAGGGTTTCTCTGTGTAGCCCCGGCTGTCCTGAAACTTGCTATTTAGAACAGGCTGTCCTTGAACTTGGTGATCCTTCTACCCCTGCCTCCTGAGTGATGGGATTGAAAGCATATACCACCACTGCCCAGAAGGTGGCATACACCCTTAATCTCAGCACTAAGGAAAACCTCTCAGTGTGAGGCTAGCCTGGTCTACATATACATAGCCAGTTCCAGGACACCCAGAGCTACTTAAAACAAAGAAAAAAGAAGAGAAAAGAATCTGCAATTGATGTGGAGGGGTTTTGTCAATGAGGCTGCACAAGTATTGCAGTTGTGGGGATTGTTCTTGTGGTCCTTGTAGTTTGTGTGGTTACAAGTCTTCAGAAAGTCATGGTGAGGTGTAACTTCTGCTTGTGTCAGAAGGAAGACCTTCTCCCACTGGTCTTGAAAGGGGGAAAAATAAACTCAAAGGCTTCACTTCTAATAATTTAGAAATGAAGGAACCAGACCTTCACTCAGCCCCCTGCTTTAGCAGCCATGAAAAGACAGGTAGGCCTCTGACACAAGAAAACTCTAGATCCTCTGGCCTCCTGGAGCCTAGGGCCGAAACTAAACACAAAGAAACCCCAGACCCCCTCCCCCAGCTTCCTAGGTACTTGGTTCCTGTGAACTGTTTGGCCACAAAAGAAAATCCAGGGGAGACCAAAACCTCCCCTATAGTCTCCAGAATACAGTTCTGAAAACTATTGGTATCTACATACAACAGGCCAGATGCAAGTAACAAGACAATGTCATAGAGACCACAGAATGTTCCCTCTCAGCACTGACCAATGAGAATACCTGGGACACAGGGCTTTCATGCCAAAATACAACTTTGAAAAATCCTCCTGATTGTTCCCAAATGTCAACCAATCAGAAACCAACCAGTACCTACTGATGTAGTCCTGAATCTTTTGTCTTTAAAACCTAGCAGTAGACAGGGAACTTCACCCCCTCTGGAGGCTGCTGTGTCAGCTTGCTAGATGGGGTCCCTCTCGAGGAAGGATAAACAATTTAATAAACCTCGTGCATTTGCATCGGTGGTCTGTCTCCCTGGTCTCTTTGGGGATCCTTGTAACTCAGACACAACAACACTATGAAGATATCTTTTTTAAAATTTGTTTTTATTTTTTTGTAGCACTGGGGCTTGGGACATAAGTCCTCATACATACGAGGCAAGAACTTAAACATTGCCTTTAAACCTCATCCTCAGATCAATATCTGTGGTTTATATTTTTCTCTGTTTTAATAGACAGTATTTCATTATGGTGACCAGGCTGGCTTTGAACTCCTGCGCTCAGCTCAAGTGATCTTCCCCGTTAGCCTCCTGAGTGTAGCTGCACACCTGGCATGGTTTCTCATGGTAAAGTCTTTTTTTTTTTTTTTAAATGTGCATTGGGGGCTGGAGAGATGGCTCAGAGGTTAAGAGCACTGACTGCTCTTCCAGAGGTCCTGAATTCAATTCCCAGCAACCACACGGTGGCTCACAACCATCCGTTATGAGATCTGGTGCCCTCTTCTGATGTGCAGATAGACATGGAAGCAGAATGTTGTATACATAATAAATAAATAAATAAAATCTTTTAAAAAATGTGCATTGGTGTTTTGTTGGCATTCATGTCTGTGTGAGGGTGTAGGATTCCTGGGAACTGGAGCTACAGACAGTTGTGAGCTGCCACATGGGTTCTGTGAATTGAACCCGGGTCCCCTGGAAGAGCAGCCAGTGCTCAGCCATCTCTCTAGCCCCTCGTGGCATTAAAGTTTGTGATTTGTTGTTGATATTGCTAAATTTCAAGTAAAGATTCAAATGATTTTGTAATTTTATGGCTGTTTATGTGTGTGAATGCGGTGTGTATGTAATTGCATATGTGTGGGTGTGTGTACCTGTGCATAGGCCAGAGGGCCCTGCTCTGTCTATCTTGCCTTATCCTTTGAGACTGAACTTGGAATAGGGTTGGTGGCTGGTAAGCCCAGTGATCCTCTGGTCTGTGCCCCTCCGACCCCAATGCTAGAGTGACAAACACTTGTGGCTTTTTTTTTCCGTGTGGGTTTTGTGATCTGAACTTAGGGCTTTATCCTTGTACAGCAAACACTATTATCCACTGGTTCATCTTTCCAGTCTTTGATGATGTATTTTTTTATCTTCAAGTTTATGGGCCTTTGAATTATTTTCTTTCTTTTCCTTTTTTTTTCCAGGCTAGCCTTGAACTCAGAGAGATCCACCTGCCTTTGCCTTCTGAGTGCTGGGATGAAAGGTGTGCGCCACCACTTCCCATCAATTTCTCTTCTTTTCTTTCTAAGTAATTATTTTATGTGCATTGGTGTGAGGGTGTCAGATCCCCAAGAACTGAATTACAGACAGGTGTGAGCTGCCTTGTGGGTGCTGAGAATTAAACCTGGATGCTTTGGAATGGCAGCCAGTGCCCTTAACCACTGAGCCATCTCTCTAGCCCTCCTCCTTCCTAATTTTAAATTTTAATTAATCAGTTTATTTTGAGGCAGGATCTATAGTCAGCATTAGGGCTTGATCTGGTTGTGTAGCTGAAGCTTGACCTTCTGCTCCTGATTCTCCTGCCTCCACACTCCAAAAGCCCAGGTTACAGAAGTGCACCTCCATGTCTTGGTAGTTGGAGAATTTTTGTGGAATCCTTGAACAAAAGGGCTAATTTCCCATTAACTAGGAGATTTACAGATGCCACAGCTAAGTAGTCCTGCCTTAAACCAGAGGGTGGCCGGCAGGGGGCAGCATAGGAGCAAGAGTGTGGGCTTCATTTTTTTTTTTTTTTTTTAGGATTAAGTTGGGCCCAGTTTTAAAATCTGAGGAATGATCTGGTGACAAAGGACCCAAACAATTACACCCAAAGTCCTATCTCCTTGCCACCTTCTGTCCTTGCTCTGGCAGCCAGCTCACAACCAGATGTGCTGAATGGGCCCCCAGGGACAGATCTGATTGAAGGGCCCCTGCAGATGCCTGGTTGTATCCTAGATTAAGGTATGTGGTAGGGGGAATTTGGGGAGGGGGTTGTCTGCACCCCCAGGTTCCAAGTGTCAAGAGCAAAGGAAGTAGGCCCTAGAACAATTCTAGGGAACACTTGTCCTGTGCTTGAGGACCCGAGTGTCAAGATACAGGCCAGAGATGAGCAGAGTTGGGCACCACATCACCCCTGGACTTGGCAGACAGTTGTATACCTCTTCCACTGGGGCAAGCAGTTCCTTTTCTTGGGTGTGCCAGCTGGCCATGCCTCTCCCATGTCCTACCCCACCCTAGTTTCTCCAAGAGACTTAGGAAGGAGGAGGGCTCTGATGTGGGATTCTCTGTAGCTGTTGTCTCCTAGAAAACCCAAGTTTGCTTTCCAGCACCCACATTAGGACTCACAGCTGCCTGTAACTCCAGCTCCAGGGGAGCCGCTGCCTTCTTCCTAACAAGCACACACACACACAGCACGCATTTGCCAACACACACACACACACACACACACACACACACACACACACACCACATTAAAAAAAAAAAAATGTTTGCAAAGTCCTTCTAGATGCCTAGCGGCCTGGTCCTTCTGCTTGGAGAGTGAAGACCCAGAAGTGAAGGCTCAGTAGCTGCAATGTCAGGCACTTATTTTATTCTTCTAGGACAGGGGACAGTGATAGACTACTGAGGGAATCTGCTCACCCTTGTGTGAGCTTGGGGACAACCTTTGGAGAAGACTGAGAATCTCACTTGGTGGGTCATGATGGGCATTTAAGTCACAGTCCAGATCCCCACAAGCATCCTGCCTGCTCCCTGGGTGTCCCAAGTCTGCTGTGCAGGTGTGTGTGTGTGTGTGTGTGTGTGTGTGTGTGTGTGTGTGTCTACACGCTCGCGTGTGTGTGATACTCTCCCCCCCACACACACACACACACTCTAGCAGGCTGCAATCTGGTTACCCAGAATGCTTGAGACAGTGGAGTGAGACTATGGCAACCTGGAGGGGACCTTTCGTGTGACTGAGACTATGAGAGGAGGACAAGTTCAAGTTTCGGAGGACAAGGGTGTTTCCAAGCACTTTGTGTTGGATTTGGGCTCAGTTTGGTCCCAGATGCTGCCCTTCTGTGTGTCACCCTGGAGGTGGCCAGCTAGAGTATATACTGAGGATGGATGAGTAAAGCCTGACTATGAAGTAGCAGTTTTCCTAAGGAGTTCACAGGCCACATGGGAGGAGCCCTTGTGGATTGTTGGGGTGAAGATAGGAGAATAAATACAGACTTCTGGGAAAGAACATGACTGGAGTGGGCTAGGCCTGCAGAGCACACGGGAATTAGAAGAGGTGTGGGGGAACTTTGACCTGTCGCACTAGCCCTGAGCTTTTCTAACCAAAGCTTTAAGCTCTCATCTGTCCCAGAAATCAAGCCAGTCTCTGTAATGTTCTACGGCTATCTCTGAGTTTAAGGCATGTGAGTACGTGTGCTGGGCTTGCTTGCACCCTTGAGAGCTGAAGTTCGAGTGAGCTGCAGCTAGGGGGCGCGCTGTTGCTTCTTTCCGGACACTTGCCTTGCTGGGGCCCTATGTGAAGAGCGGGTCCACCAGGTAGCATCCTGGGTGGGTACCCCAGCTGCCTGTTAACAAGTTGGCTGAGTGACGTAGGAGACAGGTAGTGTTTTCCTTCCTTGACCTTTAAGGTGAGTCCGATATGGGCAGCTAGCTGGGACTTCAGTTCAGGAAAAGGCTGGAGCTGATGCTGGACACAGCTCAAGCCAGAGCCATTGGCTTGGAGCCGGGACTGAGGTACACAGCAGGGCCCGCAGCAGCTGAGGAGGGCGTGGGTTCCAGTTCCACAAAGGCCGAGTACAGGGTACTGAGGTGCAGGTCTCCCAGGGCCCCGGAGCCCGCGTCGCCTGGAGGCGCCAGTTCACCTGCCCCATTGCCTGTTTCTGACAGGCAGGGCCCTGGGGGGAAGCAATGCGCTGGAGGTGGGGGTGGCAACATGGAGGATGAGGTCGGGGACGAGGTCACCAGTACCAGGGGGTCCAGGGCCAAGCTATCATCCTTCAGCTGCTCCCACAGATTTCCTAGTTGGGGAGGAGAGAAACATTATCACTGGAGGGCAGCACAGAGCTAACCCAGTCTGACTCCCACTTCTCAGGAGCCTCAGAGAGCAGGATTCGGGTAACACTGACTGGGAGGTCCCTGGCACCCGCTCTGGGACCCCAAGAAGTCACCGATTTTTCCTGAGTCTCGGAGTCCAGCTCCGAGGCAGCACAGTGTGAAAGCCATAGACCAGTGGTTGTCGACCTTCCTAATGCTGTGACACTTTGCTACAATTCCTCATGATAAGATGACCCCCCCAACCACAAAATCTCGTTGCTACTTCATAACTGTAATTTTGCTACTGTTACGAATCACAATGTAAATATCAGAAATACAGGATATCTGATATATGGTTCCGAGAACCACTGTCATAGTAAAGGTGACATCTGTGCCTCTTTTGTGGGGTGAAGGCCCTGGAAAAGATTAAGGATTTGCTCCTCTGATGGGTTGCTGTAAAGGCCGTACTTCGGGACAGCCCCAGAGGTCTGTCTGGGATTCTGCCTAGGATTCCATAGAAGGTGGGTTTGCAGCCTAAGATCGTCCCTCAATGTACCACTGGACCTGATGAGGTACATGAACCTGCCTCCCTAGGCCTCCCCTTCTCCAGGACCCAATGTGCAAGATAGGACCAAAACGGACACTTGACTCTGGGGAACAGTGCTACCACTGAGTCCCTTCTGGGTCATGTGGCCTGCCTTGTGGCAGGCCAGAGATTGGAATCTGCCGGGAACATCAGCACTGCAGAGTGGATAGACCTGACAACTCTGGCTGCTCTTGGCCACCTGGGGTCCAATCCTAGCCCTTTCTTTCTGGTGAGTGACCCTGAGTGGTTTGCATGATCTCTGCATGTCATATTGCTTGCTATTCCACAGGTTCAGACCAGGAGAACACATGTAAAACTGTTTGCAAGATGCCTGATACTCAGTAGGAACTTTGAGTAGGTCAATAAAGGGTTTTGCTTTGGTTCTGTAGTGCTGGGGTTTTGAGCCTAACTAAGGCCTGGTACATGCTAGCCACATCTCCAGCCTTCTAGTAGTTATTTATATATCCCACACGTCCCTGGCCTCCTTTGCAGCTATCTTGTTTCTACATCCACAGCAGGGCTGGGATGAAGATCTATGTGAAGTTATAGCCTAAGATATATACATCAGCAGCCTCCTCCAAACCTCCTATGGTCAGTGGCAGGGCCTAGGGGCACACAGCACACACCTGGGAAGGGGTGGGACTTAGAGAAGAGGGTGTGGCTTGGCTGGCTTCAGGATGGAGCTGGCAAGATGGTGGGGAATAGATAGATGCCCTCCCTGGGCTTCTAGGACAGACCTAGCTCTCAGGTCTTTGTTTGTTTTTGGTTTTCTGAGACAGGGTTTCTCTGTGTAGCCTTGGTTGTCCTGGAACTTGCTCTGTAGACCAGGCTGGTCTCGAACTCAGAGATTCACCTGTCTTCCTCCTGAGTCCTGGGATTAAAGGTGTACACCACCACCCAGCTAGCTCTGAGGTCTTACATTCCAGAGAGGGTCTGTCTCCTGCAGTGAAGGGTGAATTCTGATAAAATGCAAATGCTTTTGGGATGTTCAGCCACCCACAATCAAGTATGCCATGGGACTTGTAGCTTTTCCCAGCTTTGTCAGAGACAAGAGGTTTGATGACAAGGTCATCTGGAACATGTTCAGGGTACCAGGAGGAGGAAGATGGGGACCGGAACAGTTTACCCCATTTCCGGATGGCAGGGAGTGAATGGGTAGCTTCAACACTCCAAGTCATCGGCCTCAGGTGACCAGAAACAAAGGAGCCAGCAGATGGCAGACTGGAGACATGGCCAAGAGCACCTCTCTAGTCCTGTTCCACCCTTCCTTCCCTTGCTCCCAGCTCACCCTGGAAGTCAAAGTCGGTGAGAGAGGGGTTGATGGCGTCCAGGTCAGTACCAAGGTCTCCATCCGGCAGCAGAGTATCATGCACGGTCCTGGCTGGGGAAGGCTCAGCCAGCAGCTTGGCACTGTGGCTGGGTGGTGTGTGGGCAGGTAGAGGTGAGTCCTGGGGAGTGCCTGGCTGGGCCTGCAGCTCAAGATGCCCATCTGGTTGTGGGAACAATGGCTGCGGGTGTCCAGAGGGGGCCAGGCTGGGAGAAAGGTGTTGGTAGGTCTGCCCATAGCAGGAGGGTGCATGACCACCCAGTAAGTCCTGCAGGGGATTCTTGCCAGGCATGGGGCCTGGAGCTGGGTGCATTGGGTGCAGAGGCTGGGAGAGACCAGCTGAGGGTGCCAGGGGCCGGATGGAGCCTGGGCCTGCCAGCCCAGGGGGTGGACATCCCAGCAGTGGAGAGCCCAGTTTCTCCCTTTTGTCTCCAATGAGGCTGTCCAGCTCTTCTGCAAAGGCCCAAAAGGAAACATCATGAGGTCCCCCTCTTTTACAACCCCTCAGCCTGGGACCCTCCAACAGGCTCTGTCCACTCCTCTCCTTTCTGATGCATGGATCCCTTGGCCTTTCTCCGGCTCGGCCCTGCCAGCCTCACCTGGTTTGGCCATGCTTTTTCGCACAGCGACGGGGTCCTTCCTCTTCCACTTCTGCAGCTCCTCCTGCATCTTGTCGATCTTGGAAGGATTGAGGGCCCACAGACAGCCCTTTCGAGAGGAACTCCCCGACTTATTTTCCACCTTCTCAAAGCACTTGTTGAGAGACAGGTTATGGCGAACAGAATTCTTCCAGCCATCAGGCGCAGTCTGCCAGAGCAGAGCAAGAATTCAGGCTGGGCTCAGAAAGCCAGAAGTGGCTCTGGGTGTGGGTTCTAGGACATTCCTTCATCAACTCGGGAAACAGAATTTCTACACACTTTGTGGTTTGATGTCCTCAGCACCAAAAACATGCTTAGAACCCCCTAGTTGTGGAGAAGGATTGGGCAGGAAACTTGACTGCAAGCTTGTTTTTCAGCTAAAATCTAAAGCCTGCTTTTATCCTACCTACTTCTTAGCCCAGACCCTTCAGAGGACTGTGGCCCTTTTATATACCCTTTACTTATTTTATGCATCCGTGTGGGTGCCTGTGGGTATGTCTATGTACTACATGCATGCAGACACTGTGGAGGGCACTGAGTCCCCGGGAACTGAAGTTACAGATGGTTGTGAGCCACCATGTGGGTACTGGGAAGAGAACCCAAGTCCCCTGCATGAACAACCTGTGTTCCTAACCACTGAGCCATCTCTCCAATTCTTTTTGCCACCTGCCCCCATTTTTGAGATGGGATCTCACTCTGTAGCCCAGGCTCACAGCAATCCTGGCTCAGAGCCTCAGCTAATGCTGAGGTCATAGGCATTAGCCTCTGTGTCCCACTTGTGATTCCCCCTTAAGGGACAACTGGTAAATGCCACCTAGGCTTCTTTCTATATCCCCATCGAAGCAGGGTGTGCCTTCTGGCCTGTGCATTCCCTTTGTAGAAAGGGGAAGATCACTATTTTATAGTCTTTGGGGCCAGCTTTAAAGGGGGGGCAGCAGAATGCCCCTCCTCTGGGTCTGACTCATCCCTCCGGGGCAAGCTTGGCAGAAGAGGGTTGGTGAGTAGGTGGGTGTTAGAGCACCTGTTGCCTCCATGTCTGATTGCAGATGTGGTGTTGGTGAAGACAGGGAGAAGTCTTTAGATACCTCTCGGTGTGAGTGATGTCTCCTACCACAGGCCTCTGAACTGAGTGTGGATGGCTGTGTGTGAGAAAGTGTCTCAGAGTATGTGTGTATCCATGATTGAGTGTGTGGGTGTGAGTTTGCATGAGTGTGCCCTGGAGGTGTGTCCTGATGGGGAGGCCAGCCCTTAGGCTGGGGGTGCTCGTGCCAACAGAATAAACACCCATTAGGAGGCCTGGTCATGCCACCAGTGCAGTAATTGTGCCCAAGGAGGGTTGTAAAAACCATTAAGCTGACTCAGTTGGGTGAGAGGCGGTTGGGGGGAGGTATGGGCCTCCTGCCCCCCACCTCTGGCTCAGTTGAAGGCTCTGTGACCATTCTGAGTCTAGCGGGGGCTGACTGTGGGTAGAACCACAACTCTAACTGATAGAACTCCCTCCAGCCCTCATTCTCTGGCTCCTCTCCCTTTCAGCCCCTCGTTCCTGGTTAATGAGAGATGGCCACGCCCTCCTCCCTAGCTCACTTGCCCCAGGGTGCAGCCAAGCTGAATCACGCCCAGCAGAACCAGGCCCTGATGCCAGCGTCACTGTGAGTTGCTGGCAGCAGCTTCTGGAGCCTTTCTTGGGGACAGCTAGCCTGTCATGGGACTGGTTCCGATGTCCCCCAAAGTTCATCAAGGGTTACCAGAGAGGTTCTTGAGCTATTGGACCTCCTTTGACTCCCACAGCTGTCTCTACTAAGAGCCAAAGCTCTGTCGCCCCATGGGCAGACTTAATGGGCACTGGGAACTTTTATGGCCCCATAAATCTGTGACTTTGGGATGCCAGGGCAGCCCCCACCCCAGCCACTTCCTGTTTGGAAGCAGGACGGTCAGCACTAACAATTACGCACAGTGGCCGGGTACTTCCTTAGTCCCACATCCCTGACTCATGGGACGATGGGACACCCACAACAGCTGCTTTGGTTATGAGTACTGTCCACTCTGTCCTTTGAGTTCTGTCCTTTGAGTTCTGTCCACCTAAGAGTTCACTCTGTCCTTGAGTACTGTCCACCTGAGAGTCCACAGTACTTGCCCTGAACAATGACCTTCAAATGAGAAATGAGAAGCAGAGAGTCTTTGAACTCTTTCTTTAGGGAGGACTAGAAGAAACCTGTCGGCTTGGTCCAAACAGACATGTTATAGAGGGGGAAACTGAGGCCCAGGGAGGAAAGAGGCTGGCCTTGGATCACACAAGGAAACAATAACTGGGCCTGGATTCCAGCTCCGTTCCTCAGCGAAGGGCCCTGCCCAGGTCATCCCATGGGGCCTGCCTTGCCAATGGAGCCGGTCCCATCCTCACACACTCTCTCTGAAGTCAAAAGTAGACTCAGGTATGAGGGAGTGATGCAACTGGCTAAGAAAAACAACCAACCAAAAAAAGCTGTCAGACCTCTTCATTCTTCAGCCCCATAAAACAGGGATTACACGGCTCCCAGGAAAAATAATTAAGCCAGGAAGATGAGATATAGGGAGGGGCTGGGGGCAAGGCCAGGAGTAGGCAGGAAGAAGGCCCAGGGAGCAGGGAGGGGCCTCTCCTCCCTTTCTCTGGCCAGTTCTTGGAGGACTTTGCCTCAGCTCTAGGAGAAGGCAGGTGTCGATTCCTCCCAGGAGATTCTGACTTCAGAACTTGAAGTCAGTGGACTTTTCCATTCTAGCCAAAGCCACACTGAAAGACTTTTTGCCCACTCCCTGACTGGGGGAGCATAGCAGGTGCCAAGTTGCCTGCACATCAGCCAGCAACCGTCCCCAGGCAGGACTATGGCACAGACAGTAGGGGCAAGAATCTCCAACCACCTATGGAGCTGACTCAGGATGGCCTGGGTCTCAGCTACTTGTCCTGCCGGGGTAGTGGATGAGATAGCACCCGTCCTGGGGACTGTACCCCCTAGCAGAAACTCTTGCTTCTCCTGCACCCACCTTAGGAGAAGATGTCTGTACAAGAGGAGCTTGGGGAGCATGTGTCAAGGCTAAGGGGGCTGTGTGTGAAGGCCAATAGCTTGACTCAGCAACTGACCCATTTGCTGTGTGATCTTGGAAGGATGGATCACCCTAGCTGATAAGTTTGCTCGCCTGAAGAGAAGGGTCCTGTCAGGTCCCCAGGTGCACCCAAGGCACCAGCTTTGCCAAGTCAACCCAGAGACAGACAATACCCCTCTCCCCCAGGGTTAGATCAAGGGTCAGGGATGAGCTATTCTGATCCCCCACCTCCACCCTGTCTAGGAATGTTGTCCAGGAACATTTGAAAATACTGGGCATCACCTTCACCCCATAACTGTTACATACATGCCTCAGTTTCCCCAGGGTCCCTCTCAGCCCTCCTCCTGTCCCTGGGTCCTAGGAAGGAATTTCTGGAAGTTACCTAAAGTCTCTTCTGTGGGGAATAGGAACTAATGCCGAACCTGTGTTTCTGAGAGAACCAGCTGGATTCTCAGGACACCTAATACTTTGAGCCCCACTTTCAGGCACAAGGGAAGCTCAGTGTGCTGCCCACAGAGGCAGATGCTAATCTCACCCTGGAAGGTGACAGGTTCCAGCTCCAACCTGGAATTCCTCCAGCCCACAGCACTCTGGCTGAGGCTGGAGACACTCCTATTACCTGTTTTCCTCTCTCAATTTGGGGATAGGTAGCTGGTCCCTGAAACCCATCAGAACTGACATCATTCCCTCCTCCCACTCCCCCCAGCTGCTATGTAACCTGGAGCAAGCAGCTTGAGAGCTCTGTTCAGAGTCCTCCCCCTCTTGGCTACTGAGGATGGAACTTGGGGCCTGGTACATGTGAGGTGATTCTCTCTCTCTCTCTCTCTCTCTCTCTCTCTCTCTCTCTCTCTCTCTGATCCATGTGCAGCCCTGAAACCATCTCACTCCCTGGAAGCAGTGCACGTCACCTGGGACACAGGGGAAGCATGGCAAGCCCCTCCTGCTCTCATGCTGGGGGGTGGCTTTTTGTTTTTGTTTTTGTTTTTTTTTTTT